AAAAAGAAGAAATATTCAAAGAGTTTTGGGAACTAGGGGACCATACAAGACAGTGGGATTTCATTATACGTTATGTCAAAGAGCTCAAGAAGAAGCAAGTTACTGTCGAGGCAATTTTATCTGAAAATGAACAGAGATGACAGAAAAGTTTGCAAAACTATGTTTCTGAATACACTGTGCATATCTGAAACTTCGGTGACCACGGCTCTTTCAAAAGTAAGAGATTCCTCTACAATCATAGCTGACATGCGTGGTAAACATCAAAAGCATCCCAAAATAATAACAGAAGATATAAAAGATAGTGTAAGGAATCACATAAAAATGTTTCCTACTGTTCCATCGCACTATTTGCGGAAAGATACAAGAAAAATGTATTTAGAAGAAGGATTAAGCATTCAGAAAATGTATCGTCTCTATCTTGAGTACTGCGAAGATTCTAAGAGAAGTACAACTGCGACATTAAGGCACTACCGTGATATTTTCAATGAAGAATTCAATATCAGCTTCTTCAAACCAAAAAAAGGATCAGTGTGAAGTTTATTCCGCCTATGATTTAGCTGATGATAAGACAAAAATCAGAACTGCAAGACTTACGATACTCATATAAAAAACAAAATTTTGAGTCGTCAACTTAAAGATATAGATAAAACTATTGCTACGGATGACAAATCACTTTGTGTGGCATGCTTTGACCTCCAAAAAGTGCTCCTTACACCCCAATCTAACGTGAGCGACTTTTACTACAAAAGTAAATTTATTTAAATAGGTGTTATATCGTTCAGAGAACTATCAACTGAGTTAATCGCTAACATACATTTTATGTGTGTACACATATATAAGTGAGAAGTCAGAATAATACATAAACATAAACAATGGAATCAAAAGAAGAACAATATGTAGATCCAATGCTTGACGGTTGGGATGATGACTACGATGATCTCCTGACGAATTTTAAAGTCATGCAACGTATAGATGAGAGTGCAGAGGAAGAAAGAGAACAACATCAGAGTGATCCTACTGCAGTAAAATCTGACTCAAGCGACCAAGTTGATCAAATCATACCACGAGTCATATATAGTGGCGTAAAGCGCACTCCAGACGAGTCGCAGCTAGCGCGCACTATGTCACCTTGCAGTTCAGTTGGATCAGAACGGGCATTTTCCCTTCTGTATCACGAGAGTAGTGAAGAAGATAATGAAGCACCACCTCAGACTAGGAGCCAGTCAACTGACACCTATGTCCCGACTGACAGCGAGGACGACAGTGAGGAGGGGTATCCTAATACCTTACGTGACATTCAAATACCAGACAAGCCCTTAAGAATACATGCAATCATGGCATTGCGACGGGATCTAGCGCAGTTAATTAATGAAGCTAGAAATTTGGCTAACTTAGTTAGACCACCCATACCTGTCAATCGGTGGGAGTCGGAATGTATGGGGCACGACAAGATACAACGTCTACTACGAACGATGCAGTACCGTTCTCCAGAAAAGCAGAGCATAGTTAAATTGACACTGAAGAAGCTCTGGTTTCAGAATTTGGTGGAACAGATGCGAATCGATTACGATGACCAGCAAATCGCAGTAGCTCCTCTACAGAATATGCGACGCTATGTTCACGAATTAACAAGTGATGTACGTGGCTATAGCGGTGAAAGAACCTTTAAAGATCTAGTATTTATGCTATTTGGCACTGAGTTACAAGAAGTCGCCATAGCAAAGTTAAATCTAATTGCGACACGAATTTGTGACATATATTTTCAAAATTAAGTCTAGATCAGCAGCACAGGTAGTGTACATTTGTAATGATGTGTTACCGCACCCTACACAATGGAAATTTCACGATTGCCGCCTGCAAATATGGATGTTAGAAGCAGGCATTACTCAACGAAACGGCGATTTAGTGACACCTAATCCCAAGTTTGATTGGGAAGTGCTCATTACAAGGTATGATGATAGTGGAGTTCCACTATGCTTGGAGTTAACATCAGCTAGCTCAACGAGTTTATCTCGTGCTAGTAGTTCTTAAAGCACCGAGGCGTGACCAAGCCCCTCAACATAGTTTAAATATTATTTTCTATTCTGATAACTGTGGAGGTCAAAATAGAAACAAGTTTATCTTCTCAATGTTTTTGCTTGCTTCAGACGTATTTCAGGTCAACATAACCCATAGGTTTCTTGAGAAAGGGCATACCCAAAACGAAGGAGACAGCATGCATGCTGTAATCGAATGTGCGAAGAAACGACAATCTGTTCTTTACGTTCCCGAACAATGGGTAACTTTGAATAGAATGGTAGCATTTATGATGTAACTGAGATGTCGCAAACAGATTTTTATGATTTCAAAGATATAACGGATATCCAGACATGGAAATTAGACGAAGATAAACATTCGCTTAAAATAAGCAAAATTAAAGAAGTATCTGTGCTGACATCAGATTCTAAACACTGTGTATTAAAAATATAATTTTGATGCTGCAAAATTGTTGTTGCGATTAATAATCCAAAAACTAAAAATACGAGAGGAAGGCCGAGAGCAAAAATAAGTGATAGCAATTCAGCATCTAAACTTAAATTGCTATATACGTCCGAACTATCGATAGACGACAAAAAATTGAACGGCTTATTGTGGCTTTGTAATAATGCAAAAATACCAACTATGTATCACGATTTCTACAGGGTGTCCCAGAAGTCGACGTCAAGCCGAAACCGGGTGATAGGCAAAGTCATAACAGCTATCAGAAAAATATTTAAAATAATTTTATGTATGTGTTTTGAAAATTATAGGTCTTTGAAAAAAAATATAGAAATTTCACACCCTACGGCAGTCTGTCAACTCCTGTTACTACAAATATTAATTTTTTTTGGATTTTATTTTTACAATGTAATGATGAATAATGCATCTTCAAACTGGTGTCTCAACCTTACTGCCAACTTTTCTCGTTCAGGAAAAATTGCCACTTATTTCCCAACCAAGTATTCCAAAGTAAAACTTTGCTCAACTTTAACTGGCTGTACTGGAAAAAAATGTACTACGAGAGTTTGGCAAGTAACCTTAAAAGTTGGCGCATTTAATAAGGATTCCAAAATGGTATAACACTTAGAAGATTACTCGTTAACTTATGCACAATTTTGAAAAACTGATATAAATTTTTCAAAATTTCCTAATTAAACAGCGATTATGAAAACGCACAAGGACCCTTAAGGATAACTGTTTGCACAACAGTGGGCGTCAAAATGCTGCTGATGATCATTTACCTTTACAGCAAATGCTCAACTGTTTTCCTTCAGCCGCAATACACGCTCGACATCTTCTTAAAAAAGATCGGGTTATTAAACGAGCGAATCCACGGTTATTAACAAACTCAGCTGCTTCCAATAGTCTTTGCCGTAGCTCAGCTACATTTTGAATCGGCTTGAAATACAATTTTTCTTTTACAGTTCCCCAGTAAAAAAAATCTAACGGATTCAAATCTGGTGACCGGGCTGGCCACGGTATTGTACCAGACCGCCCTATCCATCTGCCTGGAAAGTTTTGATCGAGATACTCTCTCACTGAGAGTGCATAGTGCGCTGGGCAGCCATCATGCTGAAACCACATGTCCCTGTAAATACTCAGTGGCACGTCCTCCAATAAATTTTCTAAATGATTTTGCAAAAAACCTAAATAAACCTCAGCAGTCAAAGTCTCTGGGAACTCAAACGGACCGATTATTTTACCATTTAAAATTCCTGTCCAATGGTTTATTTTGAAGCGATATTGAGATTTATCTTCTCTCATCAAATGTGGGTTTGCTACGTGCCACTCGTGTAAGTTATGCAGGTTCATGTACCCATCTTTCTTAAATGTGGTCTCACCTGACCATACAATTTTTTCAAAGAACCGTGGATCTTCCCTGTGTCTTTCTAACATTGTGCGACAAAAAGAAACTCGGGGCTCATAATCCCGGGGCAGGAGAGGTTGAACACGCTGTACGTGTACGTATTACATTTTTTTCCAGTACAGCCAGTTAAAGTTGAGCAAAGTTTTACTTTGGTATACTTGGTTGGGAAATAAGTGGCAATTTTTCCTGAACGAGAAAAGTTGGCAGTAAGGTTGAGACACCAGTTTGAAGATGCATTATTCATCATTACATTGTAAAAATAAAATCCAAAAAAAATTAATATTTGTAGTAACAGGAGTTGACAGACTGCCGTAGGGTGTGAATTTTCTGTATCTTTTTCAAAGACCTATAATTTTCAAAACACATACATACATTTTTTTTAAATATTTTTCTGATAGCTGTTATGACTTTGCCTATCACCCGGTTTCGGCTTGACGTCGACTTCTGGGACACCCTGTATAAAAACCTGAAATGTAAAAGCTCTAGTAATGTAGACCGAGATGAGGATTTGGATGAAGATTGAAGTCGCTCTGTTATCTTGGTCGTGAATATGACCGTTTTTTTTGTTCATTTTTGAGGTCTTTTTTATTTTTTCTCAATGGTTGTTTAGTTCTAAGCTGCTATATATTTTTTCTTAAAGTAAGAGCTGTAGTACTTTATGAGTGTATCATTAAATAAATAAGAAAATAAAACAAATACATGCATGTTTGTTTTGAGCCTATTTATCTCTTGCCTTCCAATGAAAACTATCGTATTTCATCAAACTAATGTTACCACGTTCCTCACAAAAACAAGCTTATTTTGTTCCAAATGAGTCAATATTGATTACTCGATATAGAAAGTATCAAAACTTTTACTTAAAACGCCGATTTATCACAGTTGCTTGAACCTTTAAAGTCGATTTACTCAAAACTGTGAATTTTGTTGGACCCGTCGATATAGTCTTCAACGTGACTCATTTTGTGCTGTTATTTCACGTCAAGGTATTGCTAGAAAATAATAAAAAAACAAATTTCCATATAAAAAGTGCTGTGTCCAAGATGTACAAAGCGACGATATTGATATCAAATCCCACGTTTTTAAAAATAAATAACGGCATTCAGATTAAACATAACTAGTCTCTATTCCTAACGATTCGAATGGACGTCCTACCCATCACCACGATCAATCCATCATCCTGAAGGTCTTTCAGAGCATCTTCGAATTGTTCTCTAGTCACTTGAATGTCAGAATTCTGTTTCAACTCCTCGAACAGCTTCGGATAACTGATAATGGGCATTTTCCCTTTCGACTCGATCATATCCTTGACGGTCTGAGCGAGCTCCATCCGTTTCTTCCTCGCAGCGCTGCTGAGTCCCGTCGTCAAGATTCCCACGTCTATCTTCCCGGACAGCGGATCGGTGGCGGACTGTTTAAGAGCCTCCCTGTGCAGCCTGTACGCTTCATCTACATCTTCGATTTCCACGACTTGCGAGAAACGAACTTTGGCATGAGCTTCCGACAGTCGAATCAAAGATTCGAGCTGTCTAGGGTACGCGGAGATCTGACCTCTGCCCGATCCGATCTTCCTCATATCCACGTAGGACTGGATCAGCTTCTGCGCCGCTTGATCGCTGAGCTTAGGGTGGATGTGCTCTTTAGCGTAGGCTATGTAGTCTCTAAGGATTGACATGTCCAAAACTTCATCTTCTTCCTCCTCCCTGGTCCTGTAATACAGTGACACAAGATGTCTGGCAAGCTTTCTGTCATAGTTTTCGTTTTGCGGGTCCAAAATCAAGAAAATCAAATCGAATCTGGATAGTAACGTATGCGGTAATTGGACGTTTTCAATTATAGTTTTGTTTTTGTTCCACTGGGACTCATGGGGATTGGCGCCTGCTAGAATGGAAGTCCTAGCATTCAACTGGCAGATGATACCAGCTTTGGCGATGCTGAGAGTTTGTTGTTCCATCACTTCATGCAAAACGCTTCTTGTGGAGTCGTTCATCTTGTCGAACTCGTCAATGCAACATATGCCATTGTCCGCCAATACTAGAGCTCCTGTTTGCAGAACTAGCTGTCTCGTTTCGGGATCTTTCGTGACGTATGCTGTCAAACCGACAGCTGATGAGCCTTTTCCAGACGTGTACTGGCTGCGAGGAACGAGATTATAAACGTACTGGAGCAGCTGCGACTTCGAGGTGCCTGGATCTCCGCACAAAAGAATGTTGATTTCAGCTCGGAAGTTGGTCCTTCCGGAAGTAGTGAAAGTTTTCTTTGTGCCGCCAAGCAATTGAAGCAAAATTCCCTTTTTTACATCTTCGTTTTCATAAATGGATGGAGCTATGGCTCGGGTAAGACGATCGTAAATATCGCGCTTTTGAGATAAAATATTCAAGAGTTCCACCCTTTCCGGAGTGAAACGATGGTCTTTGCCATCTTCCTCTTCGTAAAGCCTTTTCTGATCGATCTTCCTGAAATGCAGCACGTCAATGTGGGTCTTGTAGACGGAACGGATGTTCCTCATTCTGGGGTTTACCTAAAATCAAAGAAATGATTAGATAAGCATGAAAAAACGTATGAATAATCTCCATGTTTTTTCTGGACATTGAAACACAACGGAAAAAAATATGTTTTTGTAGCTAAACCAGGTGATTTATAAGGAATTTATTGATTCAATATGGGGATTAGAGGCCCTTCTTAAACAAGTCGTATATTTTTTCACTAGTTTAATCGACTATAATCATTAGATCCATTACTATACTAAGGGCCAATTTCACCAACAATAGTCCATTATTCTCCACCTATAGGGTAACAGCCAGCTTCAAGTTCCAATCAACAAATTTTAGCAACCAATAGCTATGAAATGTTGAAAACAAAATACTGTCAAAGTATGAGATGACATCTTGTCATTGAAACATCATCAGCTTATTGAATATTAAGAACTTACATATAATTCAGTCAAAATTTGAACAAATGTTTGATTTTTGAATAAAATTCATGATTTAATTACTATTGTTGATTTTTTATTCATGTTTATAATATTTTCTTCAATTGATATGCGATCTTACTGATTCAAGATCATCTACTGGGTGTTTTTTCCTATAAACCTCTTGCAGATAGCCATTAAGCACCTACTTGATGACTGGCTCTACCAAAAAGTTCATAGATATTGCTCGTTTCCAAACATTCATTCATTTACTTGCCGTTCATCAGAACCATTATGGCACCTTAGATTGATATTCCCACAAAACCATTCTGGTTTCTTAATATCCATACATCCATAAAGTTGAATATTTTTCGTTGTTCAGGAACTTAACAAACATCCACACTATATTCACAGCGATTAAGAAATACCCAAATATATGTCGTAGAGCTACCAGCAAACCTAAAACCTGCAGAAAAGCTAGAAATTTGCAATATTTTTCTTTTTTCACTGAGTACATATTCTGGGTTATATTTATATTAGACATTATTTGAATCACAAAACATATAGACTGATTTGAATAACAGCTGATTATCTCCTGATATTTTAAAACTAACTATATCGAAGTGACACATAATTCTGTGGGATCCGTCAACACTTCGTCCAAGTGGAGCAAACTCTGCCAACTGTCGAAATAAACTTTATAATTTCCAAGTCTCAACTGAAAATCATTATAATAATAATAATAATAATAATATTTATTTACTCTAAAATACAGGGAACATGAAACGAGTAAGTATAGTCAACGCCAAACAAAGTGGCGTGCACGTCATCAAGGTGGGTGTGTGGAAAAATTTACATTGTTGCCAAACTTTTTGTAAAATAATAAAATTTATTATTTACATATCTAGGTTTATAAGCAATATTAACCTCAAATGATGAAAATAATAGTATAATAAAATTATAGATCTGTACTTGCATAATCATTAAGTATGACAATTATTGATCAGATGACACTATGAAACTACCATATTTAATTGATAGCTTAAAGGTACTGAATAAAAATCCAAATGGGGTCCTTCAAATTTTATGCATGGTATTTATTTTACAGAATTCATACAGAAAAATGCATTCTAAAATTAGGTAAGCTACTGGTGTAAGCTTTTTCTGTACAATAAAGTTAGTCGGAGTTTCTTTCTTCAGCGCTGTCTGAATCTGAATCTTCATCACTCTCAAAGTTGATTATTAAAGGTTCGATGTCTGGTCGATCAAAAATTCGTTCTCTTTCATACCATTTAAAAATTTCTTGCTCAGTATGCCGAACACTATTTTTCCACATGTCTGGGGTAACCGTTTGTAGAGCCTCGTTCCACATATAAAAACAGTCTTTTTCACTGTTACCATCTCTACCAATATGTCTGTTATAGTAACCTTTTGCTATGCCCCAAATTAACTCAATAGGGTTAAATATACAATGGTAAGGAGGCAGACGAAGAACTTTGTGCCCATGTTGTTCCGCCAATTCATCCATCACGTATATTTTAGGTGGTTTGTTTCTAAAAAAGCAGTTATTTTAAGAATAGGAATAAACAAAAGAAATATAAACTGTCGACCAAAATATATATAATTAAGAAGCATTATGTACCGAGCAACAATACTCAATAGCTCTGTTTTAAACATTGTGTTTAAAAATGGTATGTTTTGATTTGTCAACCAGTCTTGGATATTTTTTTTGTCCATGCATTGTTGGGCACTTTGTTCAATATCATGCTGTGATAAGGGGCGTTATCCAGTATAATCATAGATGGACTCTCCAATTTTTCTAATAACTGATGTTGAAACCATTTCAAAAAATTGTCCTGGTTCATCTCTCCATGGTAATCGCTCAATTTTGTTTTCGAAGAAAATATCGCTTCACTACCCTCAATAAACCCATTTTCATTTCCAGCATGTAATATAATGTATCTAAAATATATTAGTTTTAAATTTTATAGTGCAAATTGTGTAAAAGTACATACCTTATACCATCTGTTTTAATAGCTTTCACGCTTTTTTGGTTTCCATTTTGCCAAGAGCGACCTATGGTCCCATTTTGAAATATCCAAGTTTCATCGAGGAAGACAAACTGGTATAAGGCCTCAACCTTGGCTTGATTGTATTGCCTTAGAAATTCCACCCTTTTCAAAGCTATACTTGGTAGTTCCATGAGCCCTCGTCGCGGATTGTCCTTAAGCCACTTAAATCCAAGATCTCTAAGCAACCGCCTTAAAGACGTGGCACTACCATCAAATAATGCCCTATCTCTTAATCGAGACCATAAAGTTTGTATCGTAACTTGTTCTTCTGAAACCATGTGTAATATGACATTATAATTTAGTTAACAAATTAATGCAAATTTCTGATAAGTTATTATAATAAGATCTTACTTTTGTGATACATATTATAGATCACTTCTCGAATGGCACTTGTATCCAATGTCGCTGTGTTGGTTACACGTTTAATATAACTCCGCTTTTTCTTGGGCGATTCTAAATTTGCATCACTTTTCACACCCTCGGAAATACGACTAACTGTCCTTAAACTAATTTTTAAAGCAGCAGCAACACGCTACAAAAAATGAAATAAAATTTCACTATTATTAATATACATTACATATAATTATTAGTAACCTACCTCTTGAACAGCATTTAAAAGCAACAAAGGCCCGTTGTTGTCCCTTTCTTGCTCAAAGTAGTGCATTAACGAGGCCACGAGTTCCTTACACCGACTATTTAACTGTTTGGGCATCTTTATATACCAAAATTGCCTTTATCTACTCGTAAAATGAATAATTTTGTTTTGAAACAAACAGTTGTTGATTTACAGTATGCGGGACCAAAGGATTTATAAAGATTTGAAATGCCACAAATTGATTCAGTGTCAAAATTAATACAAATGTCAGTTCCCAGTTTAAATAAGTTTCAATGTGACAATGTGTCAACGCTGCGAAATCGGTTTAGTGCGTTTACATGTCGATAAGTGATTGGAGCGTTTGCAAAACATTTTATTTCGCATAATGCGTCTAAATTTATCGGAAAGCAACTTATGTGATATTTTAATAACAATGTTTATATGACTATTAACCATAATAAGAGAGTAATGACCATTTTACAATTTATATATCACATTAATATGAAACTGCAATAGAGCAATTGTTTGTGATAGAAACCTAGGCATTAGGTCGGGGAATTTTTATCGTGATGACGTGCACGCCACTTTGTTTGGCGTTGACTATAAATATAATATATCCATAGGAGGACAACGCCTGTGCATGGATCATATGTATGTTGAATTGCAAAATATAATAAAATAAAGAGAAAAAAGAAATTATTGGTAAGAATGGTAGAGCATTTATTGTGTAATATTTGAGATTATTTTATTAATTTGATTTCTCCCAATCGTGTTGATAAATTTTTTTAATTTTTTTTTGAAGCCTAATCTATTGCGTAATTGTTTTAAATTATTTGGTAAATGTTCGTACAATTTTGGAGCTATATACAGGTGACATCGTTTCATTAGGGATTTGTTTGGTTTAGGAACATTTCTTGCGGGTAATTTATATCTGGTTTTATGATTATGTTTAATTATGTCGTGTTCACTAATTGTTTTGTGATAATGAGTGATGGTATGTAAGAAGTAGAGTTGTTTAGTATCATATACTTGTGCATCATTATATAAGTCATTAGTTGGGTATAATTTTGATTTGCCTAACATTGATTTTAAAATTCTTCTTTGAAGTACATCTAAATCGTTAAAGTATGTCGTGCATGCAGCACCCCACACTACTATACACTATATACTAAAACGCGCTGTTTTCAGTCTATTTTATTCTATCCCTTGGGGAAGTACAGAATGAAGAAAAGACTACAGTGCTCAGTGGCCACTCAGTGGGCCAGTGCTCGTCTGTAATGATAATATTCAAATACTACTAAACACCTAAATAGCTTTCTGGCCTTTCAATTTCGAAGCTACCAGTCCTCGCTTAGAGATGGTAGCACAGTTAAGGATAGACTCTGGGTATACGGTTACGGATGTTTATGATTCCTCTCGATGTCGATATATCGTCATGAAACCATCGATGCGTAAAGATCGATGTTCTACGTCCGATGTATCGATGTTTTCGATACATCAATGTATCGTCTATCGTCGGCATCCCTATATTGTATCCCCACCAGTCACCAGTCAAAAACCTTAACCATCAATATTTTATCACTATTTATAATTCTTTTTAGCTCGTATTTTCAGTAATTACTAATAATTTTAGGTCTATGTCTACAGTAATTTCATTATGCACCTCGGAAATGTAGGGATTAACATGTTTTACACATATCGGTGTTTTAGGATGGGGACGACCATACTGTTTTGATTTGAAGAAATTCATTAACCCATGAATTTATAACAAATGATTACTATTATGATGTAAAGAGAGATGAGGAATTGGTCGGAATACATTTTATATTCTATTTTCTTGCAAATCCGCACAATTCAACAGGTATGTGTAGCTATGATGATCACATATACACGCAGTATATTGAACTTAACAAATTTCGAGATTGCCATGA